CCGCCGGCGGAGGGGCTGCCCGCGCCGGGCGCAGCCTCGCGTCGCTGCCCCCGGCGTGCCCGTGGGCCTCTCGCTCCTTTCTCGGGTGAGTTACCGCAGGTTTCCGTCTGTCGTAGCGCGGCTACCCGTCGCGGTTGGCCCGCCGGGACCCTGTCCCCGCCAAGCCTGCGGCCCGAGCCGGGCCAGCAGGAGCCGTTGCACAATCACGCACTCCCCTGGGGCGGCTCAGGGTCTGGTGCAGCCTCTCACCACGCAGCCTGAGGAGCCCGAAGCGGGATGACCCTGGCCTCGGCCCGGGCCGCTGGTGAGGGGCTGCGACCGGGGCGCTCCCCTCGCGCCCCCCCGCCTGCTGGGAGCGCCTCCCGAGGGGTCTGAGCCAGCGTGCTTCTCTGGGGCTTGGACACAGGAGGCGATGAGGTCTTGGCGGCCTCCTCCAAGGCAAGTCTTCCGGAGGCTTAGGGGTATTTGGATGCATTTGCGTTTTGTGCGGCAGAACCTCTTCGCTAAAAGCCTGGGGAAGCTCCGTACTTTCGTGTTGCACACTGGCTGCCCGAGAGTGGGGTGAATAACGGAAAACATAGCTGAACTCCACTTCAAATTTATGTAGTCGTTACGTGTTGTTCTTGGGCTTTTAAATGGGAAGTGTGCCCTTATCAACTACGTATTAAGTTTAAAGAAGTAATACTTGAAACCTCATCTGGAGCTGTTTTAATTCTTTTAATACTACGAATTTAAGACTCAAGAGTTCTGAGGCTCTTTCAGTGTATGTCAGTACAGTATATGCTACACAACAGAGCTTCTCTTAACATTGTCTGTCCATCCTTTAGGATATATAAGTGGCTACACCCTACGGGCAACGTCTCTTTAGCAGTGTTGGATATACCTTATTCTGTTCATTGAATGCTGTTGCTTTTCTGTCTTAGGCCCCTCAAAGCTCGGCCTGGCCTACCTGTTTTTCTAGCCCTGGATAGCGCAGCCATGACCTCCACCATGCCTCCTCGGTTTCTTGGAAAATACTGCAAGAAAAATCAGGCTCTTGGCCTGTGCTACGTAAACGCCCCATGAATTTCATTTTGCCTATAGCATCTAGCTATGGCATTTTTGCTCTCATTTCTGAGAGAATCTTGACAGACTGATTCCTGCTTTTGTACCTGCTTTTGTACCTTCTTGCCCAATCCACTGTGACTGCTTTGCCAGCAAACCTAGCTTCTGTTACTTGTTTGCCTACTTTGTCAAACCCTTTCTATCAAGCCACCTGTCGCAGTTTTCCTATCTGAGCTCAACAGCTGCTGGTTTCTTCTCTTGCAGACCTAGCCTGAAAAGGCGCTGCATTTTTTAGATAGTAAATGATTACTGTCTTTGACATGCAGTTTTAACTGTATTTATTGAATGGAAAATTCAAATACCCTTTCCCATAAAACCTTAGCTCAAGATGAGAAAAGGGGAACACAGTCTTCATTTAGCCCCTCAGATTTTGTAAGCCAGCAGATGGGAAGGGTGTGCACTTGTGCAAATACAGTACAAACTCTTAGTCTTTTATGTGCCTGGTAGCAATTGTCATAGCAGTAAAGGTGATTGTGAAGGGCTGGGATTGATCTAGCCCCTTAACCAGAATGTAAAATCACCGCTTTCTGCTATGTACTTCTGTGGGAGTTAGAAGTGCTATTGCCTGCAGTATTCTTGAAAAAAGTATGCCTTTGTTGTACCTCTGCCTGGAAACAGAATGCACCTCTGTATGCAGAGGGCTGTTGCCTATTACACACTAACAACACAGATATCAAAACATCTAAGAAAAAAGAATGCAATGGAACAAGTGTCAAGATGTTTCAAATCACAGTTGCAAAAGCATGGTATTCTCATAGTAGCTGTTCTGTTCAGTAAATCTATTTGTTACTGAAACGGTTGCTTGGAACCTTGTAAAACAGGGTAACAAGCTCATCAGTTACTAAATTTTGAGCCTCACAACAAGAAGAGAGCAAAAAGAATTCACTTTCCAACACAAAGAATGAAGCTGTGGGTTGCACTTAGGCTGAAGTGACACCAACTGTAACAAAACCAAGTAGGCAAATAAGTGAGTGCCTGTGTAAGTGTATCTGTTAGGGTTTTTCTACCTAGAGAACTACTGAAGAGTCTCCAGCTAATTAGTGTGATTTCTTCAGTCAAAAGGGCTTTAGCATGGAATTACACATACTTTTTTTTTTTTTTATGACATGCTGCATTAAATTGTCAAGTGAATGGGTTTATTTTTTATTCCCTAATGGCCTATCATTTCCACATGAGGTAGATTCTGCAGGCAAAGACAAACAAGTGCACTGCTCAGGCCTGGCAAAAAGTCTTTGTATTTTGGGTTCGTTGGGGTGGGTTTTGTTTTGTTTTGTTACTTGATAATGAGGTTTAATAACCCTGTTGAATAGGAATATCTGATCAAGATATTTGTAGAAATATCTGTTTATGTATCTGTGTATGTAGGTAAATTTCAATATAAGGAAACATCCGCATTTCTGAATATAATGTTACCTACTAAAATTATGGACAAGTTTGGAGGAAGTAGATGAAGGAGTATCACAAGCTCTATCTTAATTAAAAATGCATTTTTTTTTTTTCACCCTCTCAGTTCTTCTGTGCTCACCTTGATACCAAGCTGCACTGATAGAGCTTGCTTTCTTTCAAAACTCACAAAAGAATACCTTTCAGTTAAGCCAGTGGTCGATGTAATGCAATGTAGTATGTTTGACTGAAATGAATGTGGACTAATAGGAGCTGACCATGTCAATCCCTTTGCGAGAACAGCTAATTAGATATTATTGTTACTGTAGTAAATATCCATCATATGAACACTGTTCTGTAGTTTGTCTTTAAAATGTACTAAAAATTTACTGTTCTATTGGAAGTTGATGGAAGTGCAAGAAGTTAATTGTCTTTGAAAATCTGACTTGAAGAAGTTTGTGGTTAGCACTCAAAGTTGGAGAAGAGTTTGACTTTGAAAGTTTGCTGGGAAATGTTTGAAAGAGACGAATCCAGAACAAAAAAGACCATTCAGTATAAGCAGAGGGCAGCTGGATGATCTTGTGTGCTTTAAAGAACTTAAGACATTTTTATAGGACTGTGTGGGTGGCTAGGAAGGTTTGTGTACACTTCCCACTAAAGTATGTGGGCAAGAATAAATTCTGGATCTCTGTCCCTTACTTTTTTTCTTTTTCTTCAGTTGAAAAACTAGAGACGATATAATACTTATCCTGAGTAAGAATGCAGCAGGTTGTATGTAATCCTGAAGGACAAGGATACTGTTAAAAATGTGTCAGATTATTGTATCTGTTGTTGCACCTGAATACCCTTTTGATTTCTTTTGGTTGTTTTTTTCCTCAAGTTCTATATCTTAAATTTGCAAAGCAGAAAGATACCTGTTTGATAGGTATTGCTACTTTTGTGATCCTGACTGAAATGAATGTAGCAATAGCATATTGAACGTACTTATTTTGTTAAAGAAATCTCAGATACCTTTGTGGAATACGCTGGGCTTTGTGAGATGATGTTGAAGAACACTAGAAGTGGCAGGAGCTAAGTGAATATTTGTTCATTTATGTTCTCAGTAAAATCAATTCATACTATTGTTTACTATGATTTTTCCTATATGGTTGTAAAATTGTGTTATATTTGGTCCTTCAATAGAACTAACAAATCCTCAAACAGCAAAAGTTGTCAGAGTTTGTAACTGAAAATTTTTGGAGTGCATTAGACTTTTAAAGGATAGTGAAAAAGAGTCAATTGCAGGCCCAGGAAAGGGTGAGTTTAAGGGAGAAGGAGAAAATATAGAAAGTTCAGATGATGACGGTAAATGGTGCCAAGTGTGCCCATGCCTGTAACACCATATGTTTGCTTCATTGGAAAGAAGGAATTTGTTTGATTTTTGTATTTGGAACTTCTTTCCCTCCTCCCCCCCCCCCCTTTGAAATTATAAAGGTAAGCTTTAAAATGACTAAACCATTCACTAGAATTAGGCCAATTTGTGCAAGTGTGATGTATTTGCAATGATTGCGTTGGCTGAGGCTAGTGCAGTACAAGTCCAGGCAGTAACCTGTCAGCATGAATTAAATATTAATCCCCTGCTGCTGTGCTTGAGTTGCAGCCAGCAAAAAGTCCTCCAAAGTCTCCAGGTTAATCACCTAGTTAAAGTTTGTTTTGGCCTCCATCTCATTCCAACCCTAAGTAACCTATTATTTTAATATAGCACATTCCTAGAGAACTTGAAAGGGTTTGAAGTCTGTCCAGTTTTCTGATACAGTGTATTATACCAAAGTTGGACTTTGTGCCACAGAATACAGCTTTAGGTGAAGGGAAAAGAATACAACGTGTTGGCCAGATTTGTTCTTTTTCGGTAATAATCTTGTTTATCTGGGTTTGGAAACGCTTCATCTGCTACATATGCAAGTCTTTTTACGTAGACCAATGAAAAGTCAGGTAGGAGAAGTTGGAAGTTATGACTTTGAATTCGTGTTATCCAAAGGTGACTGATATACAGTGAACTGAAATCCTGCTCAGGATTGCTCAACAGTAATACTTTTATGGCATATTTGTTATATTAAGGTAAACAATTAAACCAACCAGTAAGAAATGAAGCCAGCAATGCTATCTGTGGTGTATAAAAACTCCTTTAAACCATGGGAGGCTTATCTGAAACAGATACCGGAAATGCATTTCAGGTAAAGATAGGCATTATGTACTTTATCTTTCCTACCCAGTAACTGCGTTCCATACAAGAAAAGCAAAGCTAGTGACAGTCACATATTAACTTCTTGCTACTGCCAATTAATTGATCATATAGTGCTTAAGTTTTTCTAAAGTATAGGAACAGTATTAGTATTACTACTCTGTGCAGTGCAGTACTGAAGCAAGCACAGGGACAGCTCTGTCTGAGGATTTCTTTGCTTCAGTGATTTTTAGATACATATGTCTTAATTTTTCTTTACCACCTTTAAAATAAGGAAATAAAAAAATACATTCCCCAGCAGACTATCTTGACTTAATATTAGTTCAGTTTTACCTTGACATACATAGTCCAACAGTGCCTGTTTCAAATAGAAGCCAAGTCTCTCAGAACCATACATTTAAATTAAATATTAATTTGGCACCATACATTTAAATTAAATATTAGTTTGGATAACCAAGCAGTAACAACATCAAGTAAGGATAAAAATGTTTAATTATTTGACTGCTTTGGAGAAGAAGATTTGTCTTCATCTTCTGAAGCATCTGTCTTCAGCCATTTTGAAGTCTTGGTGAAATATTTGCTCAGTTTTCTTTACCTGACACATTTTTGAATGTTATGTGTTGATAAATGGGCTTTGTGTTTTGGCTTTTAATTTCTACTTTAATATTTGCTTTAAAAGAATTAATTTAAGTGTTTTGATATGTTGATTATGGAGGTGTTGGAAAGGTAA